GTTACCTTCTCATACCCTGAGGTGTTCCTGCCCCCTTTCTTGTGCCAGATCTACACAGATGCATGACTGCAAGTCATGTAAGCCCACTGATCACCCAGGAACTATTCACGAGCCCTCTGCGAGATCAGTGAGTTGAAGGAGCAGCAGCTTGTGGCAGAGGAAGGAGAGCAAGATTCTTCTCATCAGCAATGCAAATGCAAAGTAGTGTAACTCTGACAGGAAACAACACCCTAAATAACCACTGTTAAGGCAGGCCTTGGTAGAGTTGTGGTGTAGGAATGAACTCTGATTTGAATGGGGACCAGAGATGACAACAGTCTTAACAAACACTGCACTTGAATTTGCTTTGAAATGCCTGCGTTTATAGCCCTTGATAAAAGCTGATCAACAGCAACAGTAGCTAGGCAAGATTGCTTTTCAAGAGTGAACCTTCAGCTTCAAGCAGCCTGAATTCTGCAGCAAGGTAGCAGAAGCAGCACTGTTTCCTGCGGGCAGGTGAACGGGGAACTGAGGGCACTCCAGTGTGACCCCTCCAGTGGGAGGCAGTCCTACTGCTCCCAAAGCAGGTGAGCAGGGCAGTCTGGTTACCACAGCAGGCCCTATCAGTCATCCAGGGTTGATCTGTCCTGGCCTGAGGTCACTCCAGGAAATCCACCATCAGCTCAGGAGCAGGGGACAGGTCGGCAAGCTAGGGTGTAGCTCAGGAAGGGACTCAGTGTCCTGGTCCCCAGAGGATGAGGGTGGAGGCCCCAGCTGAAACCCCAACACAGCAATTAAGGCTTACTTGTGCACCCGGGGCCTTGACAGTAAGCTGTGGAGTGAAAATACCATTTACCCAAAGTCTTCACTGATCTAAGGGCAGTACAGTCATCACATTCTACCTATGTGGGGTTTATTTCAAGGATATTAGGAAAGCAAACAGTTAGCAATTGCTAAGAGATTATCAGACAGAACTCCAGGCAATGGTTCTAATGAAAAGTTTCAATCTAATTTAAACAAAAGTATAAATCTAAATGTCTGCCTAACACATAACTTCTTTATCTTTCAATCTACCAAAAGAAAAAATGCCAGGCTGAGACAGGGAAGGCAACTGTCTAAATGAAGATGCATGACTTCATTAACTATACTATTTGGGGTGAAAACAGAACTTTTGTTTTCCCTTGAACAAACTTTGATTTAACAAAAAAGAAAAAAAAAAAACCAACAAAAAAGGATTACTGAAACACTTTGCAGGTTTTTGACAAATTACATGTGTAGTGTTATGGAAACCTAGCTTTCCAGATCTACTTTTCCTTCTCTGTTTCTTCTCCCTGCTCCCCCTCGCATGCCCTTTAGAAACTTGTACATTTGTCCAGGTTGTTTTAATGATATTGCTATATAGTACTTTGAAAAAGGAATCTCTGAGCCATATTGCTCAAAATAAGAAGAGAATAAGAAAAATAAACACATTTTAGTGGCAACCTTGAACTGGGAGTAGGAGTCCTAAAGAACTATTTGACCAATGGAAATGGAAAGCAGGACCATACTGGGCCAGTTCACCAGTGGCTCTTCTCAAAAAAGCCTTACAAGAGATACGCCAAAGTGAGGGTGAGCACACACTGCTATGTAGGCTGTAGTCTAGAACTCAGCTACAGTGGCACTAATTTCAGAATGCAAAATTCTAAAGTATTTTCCTTCCAGAGTGGATGCTGGAAGGTCATTGGGGGTGGGACAGCACCCAGAAATTGCCAGAACACCCATAGGGTGGGGCTAGCTGAGAAGACAGAGCTCCCTTGGCACTTAATTGTCTTGTTCCAGGTCTGATTCAGAGGATTAAGTTGCATTCTTTGGGAATTTTAGAATGCATAAAAGAACATTTTTCTCTATAGCTTCTACTGGAAGACATCCCTTGTACAGATGCAGTTCAAGGAAGCAAACTATAAAGCTAAGATCCTAGAGTAGCCAGCATGAATGGCTTTCCCAGCACTCATATGGATGCTTAGGGATCTCAGCAGTCGTCCTTCTAAGAGGTAGCACGATTTAGAGGAACGACCTAAATCTCTGTAGGTTGAGAACAGAAAACAATGTTTTTGTTCACCGCCCCTTGTGGAACAAGTGGACTACAAAAGCCTCTTCCCAGAAGAAGCCAGAAAGGGAGGCACTGTGAAAAATGCAGTTTTCACAGGATGTAGCAAGCCACTTGCTGAGCAATAAAAACAATTAAAATTTAACAGCTTGCCATACTGACTTGCTGCAACCCTAGACAGAAGAAGGATTCTGTCTAGAACACTTGTAAGAACACTAAACACAGCATTCATCAGCACTGAGTCAATCACACACTGCTGTTGTGCATCTAGCACATATGGGGCAAGGTTCACAGAGCAGAAGTTCCAGTGCTTTCAAGAAATTGTGGCCTCTTAATCACAATGAGCCTACAACATTCTTGGCTCATAGTTTCCTTCACTTAGATCAGTCCTTCAATGGTCAGGATTTCAGAAGAAGGGTAAAGAAAAACAAATAAACAAAGGAGAAGGCAGAAACAAGGAAAAAGAAGTAAGCAGTGCATAAAAGGAGAATTTTGTTATAATTACTTAGAAGATAGGGACCACTGAAAATAATTCTTTGATACTAGTTAATGCAGAAGTCATGGAGTCTTCCTCTCACTACCAACACTTCTCTATCTTTCATCTGTTTTTGTTTGTTTGTTTGTTTTTGTTTTTTGGTTAAAATTCATAAGGAATTGATGTCTTTAACCCCTCCTGCTACATCTTGACATTTGTTTGATGCTGGCAAATGCTTACAGGGGTTACTGGCAGAGGACAGAAGAGTGATATGGGACCATTTGCTCCCTTAGCTATCTATCATATCATGTGAAATTTACACAACATGGAAAGAAGAACGTTACAAACAACAGAAACCTATGCATTCTGCATACTTGCTAATTCAGAATGAAGACTCCTAGTTATTACTGGGTATCATAGCAACATGATTACAAATACGTGCAGTTATTCATGAAGCTGCAAGATTATATGAATACTAATGCTCTCTTTTCACTAACCTGTCCTTGGTTTTCTCTCCTGACTCCCTAAGCAAAGTTTGCTAAATCCCATTCATCAAAAGCAAATAAATGCTCTAACCCATTTTCTGGAGGTTTTCAAGAAAAGGGTAGATGTCATACTGAGTGACGTGGGTTAGAGGGCATGATGGAGATGGATTGATGATTAGATGATCTTAGTTGTCTTTTGCAATCTTAGTGATTTTATGATTCTATGCCGCTCAGTGGTAAGCATTTAGTTATATACAGATCAGCCATACATAGCATTCACCACCTAATTGCGTTAATTCATTTACACCAAAACCATTGTTCCCCCAAGTGACAAAACAAACAAACGAGCAAACAAACAAAAATCAAAACCAACATCAGTAAGGTACTGTGTATACAAAAGCATATAGTTGGTCCCGTTTAGCATTAACAAGTTGTAATAATGAAGTAAAAAGGAAAATCCATGATTACAGAATAGGTGTAGGTCTAACTAGTATGACCAGGTTTTGCTGAAGGACCACATCTAAGCACAGTGATTTCACAAGCTCAATAATGAATGCAAATGAACTCATCCTTCACCGAGGCAAGATGAGGGAATGTTATCGATGAACCCTTTATGATCCAATTCTGCAAATGTTGTTTGATGCATTTTTCTTGCCACATGTCAATACACTGATTTAATCGACTTCCACAGAAAGTTACATCCATAATGTTAGGAGAACAATTTAGTGCTTAAAGGGCCAAACGTATACGAGAATGCACAGAGATGGTGCTTTTCATGAATTTATATGAAAAGTTTGGAATTGCTGGTGTATTCAATAGCTAAGGAGATCAAGTAGTGTAGAACAATTATATGCCTTTTAGTAGCCTTCTCAAGAGATGGAGAAGGAAAATTTGGTAAGTTTTTGGGAAGTACTGTGTGGAGGCTGAGGGGAGGCCTGATGGAGCTGCAGCTCCTCACAAGGAGCAGAGGGGCAGCGCTGAGCTCTGCTCTATGGGTACCCGAGTGACAGGGCCCGAGGAACGGTGTGGAGCCATGTCAGGGTAGGGTCCAGTTGGGGGTTAGGAAGTTCTTCAAGAGTGCGGTGGGCACTGGCACAAGAACATTTGGACTGTATTTTCAGGCACAGGGCTTGAATTTTGGGTGGTCTTGTGTGGAGCCAGCAGTTGATAATCCTTGTGTGTCCCTTTTGACTCAGAATATTCTGTTTCCTTGATGATAAGGAGGGAGACATACCACTTCTGACATGCCTTCATGTTATTGTAGCCACCATGTGTTGACATGAATTTTTATATTTTAGGACACAAAACAAGCTTGTAGAATTTATGACAGGAGCGTGTCAGCAATTACACAGTCCAGATTTACCAGTTTCAGAACTTTCCATTCTACCAGTGTACAAAAATGGTGCAGCTGACCTAAAAGTCCTGTTTCTGAATCGGGAGGAAGCACTTGATGGGGAATTGCTCATGCAGGGTCTTGCTCCTGGCAGTGCTCTGGCAAACTGCTTCATCTTTCTGTGCTTTCATTTCCAATCTGTGCAGCAACAGTGCCGATGCAGAGGGCTGGATGCTACTGTCGCTACGTAGCTGCAGCAGGGAGCCATAGGATGCGGCAGAGATAACGATATCTATGTAAACGAGCTCATCATCTACAACATTTCTCTTCCTGCCAAGAAGGCAGAGAACCGACCGACGAGACTTTAGCGGCACAAAGGTGAGATGTGCCGAGACGTCTCACTGACCGTTCGCCAACACACGTCGTACCATCGTGGTGTGTCAGACACGTTGATGAAACCAGAGCTCTGACAGCGCAGAGCGCTGCCCTCACGCCGGTATTCGGGCAGGCCTCGCCCCCGCACGCAGCGGTCGCGCACGGCGGCAACTCGGCGCGCTGCCGCCCAGCAGCGGGAGGAGCGCGGAGGCCGGAGGGGCGGGCGCGGCCTACATTGCCCGACGTACCGCGCCGAGGGCGGCACCACCGGAAGCGCGGAGCGGGCGACTTCCGGTTGTGCGCGAGCCCCGAGCGGAGGCGAGCCCGCGATCCTGCACCCCGACGAGACAAGATGGCCGGGCTGCCCCGCAGGATCATCAAGGTACCGACGCGCCGCGCCCCGCGGGGACGGGGTTGCGCCGGCCCGCGCCCGGTTCTCGCGGCGGGCAGGGCCGGGCCGGCGCCGCTTCCGGTGCGCGGGACGCGGGGCCTCGCGGGGCAGGGCCGCTCCCGGGCCTCCCTCATCCCTCGGCTGGCGCGGAGCCGCCGCCGGGCACGGCCGCCGGGGGGTTGAATGAGAGCGGGGCGCTGGGCCGGGCCCGGCCTTTCCCGCCGCTCCCTCCTTGGGCCGGCGGCCCGTGCGGGCGAAGGGGAAGCGACCGGGGCCTCCCGGTGGGCCGTGGGCGGCCGGCGAGAGCGAGGCCGCTCCCGTCGCGGTCCCCGCCCGGGCGGCGTCCCGCGGCCATTCCCGTTTCGGGGCTCGGGCCGCGCCGGGCGCAGCCCCCTTCCACCGTGCTGCCGGCTCCTCGCAGGAACGGCCTGCTGGGCCCGCTGGAAAGACACGCGGTGTCCTGCCTGTGCGGGCTGCGCCAGTCCGAGGCTGCTACGTGCGCCCCGAGCTGCCGGCTCGCGTGGCCTCGGTGTGCCGATGCTGGCGGCTCCGCGATGCGCTTCGAGTTCTGTCTGCCAAGCTCTGCTTTTGGCTTCGAGTGCTTCCAGCTACACCTCGGAGGGAATTGAAGCCAGGCTCGAACGCGTGGAGTCACTCGGCACAGGCGCAGGGAGCTGTGTTGCAATGCAGTTCGTCTTGGTGATGGTTTGGTCCTGTAGCTGGTGTGGATGCTTCCTGGGGTGGCATCCTCTCTTCTGCTCAGTTTGCAGTGATATGACTTGCAATCTCACAATCTCAAATCCATGGTCACTGACTGCTTTTGTGAAAGTTACTAAACGATATTCATAAGGTTCATTGGTAGTTATGTGGTAGCACTTGTTTCGTTTCCACCTGAGTGCATGTCACTATTTCTGATAATGCTGCGAAGCTCCTCTTGGTTGAGCATACAGAGTTGGCAACCATTGTAAACACAAAACCACAGAATGTTAAATAGTTGATTCAAAAAATAAATCTGGATTTTTTTTTTTTTTGTAAGTCAGTACGTATCTATAACAGGTGATAGAGGAGATGGGGTGAAAATTCAGGATTAGCGTTTTTTTTTTGTGTATGAAAACAGCTGAACTATGATTGATGCTCTGAAATACAGGCAGTCAAAATAATGTGTAAATCTTACAGAAGTGAGTTTGCTCACCCTGTTGCCTTGGTGCAAAACATACAGTAGTGAATATATTTCAGGTCTGAGGAAATCTCATGATGTAGCAGAACTGGTATTTGTTGCAGAGATGTGGTGAGAGCTCAGTTGTGAAACTGATGTCCGTGTTAGATTTTGCTGTAGATTTTCTCAGTTCTCCTGAGAGCAGCCAAGAAGTGCACCCACTTATAAGCTAGTACATAAATTTCCTTCTTAGCACCCTTGTTTTTCTTTCTTAGCTTCTTTTAGGGAAAACATATAGCAGTTCACATAGCTTATTTCCAAGGTAGGGGATGGTATGAGAATGTTTTTTCTTGTCTCTGGGGATAGATAGATGGATACCCCAACTAGAGTCCTAGAAGCTCTAGATTTTCTCCAGAGGAGTTTTGCTTGGAATATTTCAGAGTGCTGTCTGTTACAGGGTGGTTTATATTGTGGGTTGTCTACTTTCAGGTATGCACTGTGGGCTGTCTACAGACAGTTTAGAGCATTTGAGTTCTTGAACTGGTTGCACCGAATGACCGTTTCTGTAGCTCCTGTGCTGTGCGTGCATCAGGTCATCAGCAGTATGTATGGTCTAAGACTTGAATTTGACTAGTATTACAATCTTGAATGTGGAAGGTAGTATTTGAAAGTATCCCAGCTGCAGAGTTGCAGATGCAGGAGTGAGTGCTTCAGTCTTCAGGAGTCTTGAACGAGGGTTGTTTTGATGCTTGCTATTCAACTGATCTTAATGTTGGAGTTAAGTATCCTATTGCTGCTTCCCTTAATTGGAGGGGAGTAAGTGAACTCTCTTGCTAGTGAGAATTTGAAAGATGAGGAAATAGAAGAGAGAAAGATACATCGGATGACAGAAAAGAGCTGTAGAAGGATGAAATAATTCTAGTAACAAGGCTCAAATTTGATAAATAAGTGTTTTAGGCTGCTGCCTGGAGAAGACCTTTTCCCTTTGATCCACGTGTGGCCTTTGTGTGGTCATCTGAGGGAAGCACAGCAATAGTTGTTCGGGTATAGCAGCATACGGTGCATACGCCGTAATGAAATACAGAATCTAGCTAAGGGCTCAAAATGCAGTTGGCGTTCCTCATCTTGATGGACTGCTGGCAGATGGCCTGGCTCTCAGGTTGACTAGCAGCCTGTGCTCTCCAGCTTGCTTCTTAGCTCTGTGCAAACTGTCATCCAGCCCAGCACGAGAGCTCTGACTTTCCTTGTCTCAGCAGAGAGCTCTATTTGTATTTTCAGTGCTTCTCCACACTCATTTAAAAGGTGTCAGTATAGATGTTGCAAAGCATTTTTTACAGGAGATAAAGGATTACTCCTGGCTCACCGTCCTCAGATTACTTCGAAGGACAGGCTTTAAGCAAGTGGGGTGAATGATCTGTAAGCTCAGGATATGACTCGCTTTAGAAGTATGGCTTATGGTGTTAGCACATCACAGATGTTGAGTAGGAAATGTTATAGCTGTGAATCCTTAAATCAAATGTATAATTGGAATTGGAGACATTTTTATCTCTGAATAGAGAGAAGGTGTTTTTATTCAGTAGCCTAACACCAGTGGTCCTCTGAGAGGCACTTTGTCAAGAAAATCTCTCAATGTAAGAAAATAAGAAGGCAGTATGGTGCACTTGCATAGATTTGTGGTTTTGATACTGTGAACTCTTTTGCTACTGCACATATTTAAAAAGAGAATCTTCACAATGTACACAGTAAACCCAGAGACTTTTATTTTCAAACGTTTGTTAAACCAATTATTTCCTGTGTTGCAAAGTCACGTAGCTCCAGGAGAGTAGGGAGTTGAATTGTATCTTTTTTTTTTTTCCTTTCCTTTGGCTGACATTCAAAACCACCTCATTGCTGTGTCAAATGCAGTGAATGTATCTGAATCGGGTAGGCAATGTTGCCTTGTGTCATCCTTTAGAGTTTGGTTTTTTTTTTTCAGTTTTCATTGCTGCAGTGATCTCATCATTCATGGTTTGGTGTCCAGGTCTGTGTGTCAACTGTGTGACTCGTTGTTAATGGCACTTTTGTTATAATTGCTGCAGCTGCTCATCTCGTGAAACAAAACATCTGAAGCAGTGTATGAGATTCTTCAAACTTTTTGTGAATGAATTTATCAGTGTGAAGATATTAAGGCTCTGATTTCTGTAGTCGTTTGTACAGTCTTTTCTATTAAAGGCTTTTTCTAGTATTTTTGGCTTTCTTTGAATGATGGTGAGGTGTAGAAGCTTTTGGTTTTGGTCAGTGCAGTTCCTTGGCGTCGGTCAAAGGAACTGCATGTTTGGACTTTGTAATGTGGTGTTGTCCCATGTGTGCTGTTTGAATCTTGTGGATAGCTTCAGATTTGACAGAAGAACCAAAATTTCTGATTTTCTGTTATTTTTTGTGTGTGTGTGTGTGTGTGTGTGTGTGTTTGCTTTTTTTGCCCCTCCCCAAAAATGTGGAAATATGGTGAATTTCAGTGCTTTGTGACCTTCTTAGTTCCATCTTGTCAGTCCTCGAGTATAACCTGTGTTGGCTGTGGCCAGCAATACCATGGGTGTAGGGGCAGTGCTGGAAGCCCTGAGTTTGGCAGGATGGGTGGATTTTGTGGAGTTGATGGAAGGAGGTTGAGGAGACTCTGGCACAGAGGGTAAGAAGCCTGTAGAATTAGACCAAGGAGCCAGTCTTGGAAGAAAGGCATGCAGTCTTAATGAAAGATCTTAGAGGACACTGATGGCTTTCCATGGCCTCTTGCAGTAGACACCAGAATATAGAATTGGAGAAAGAAGAGCAAAATAGTCCAATAAGAGGCAAACGTTTTGTTTGGAGTACCTTCTTATGTAATACTTGTGCACCACTGAAATCTGAACTTTCTTAATATCAATGTATGACTTTGCACACAGTTGTTTTATATGCACTTGTCTGGTAGTGAAAGCCAGGAGAAACATCACCAATATATTTTTGTTGTTATATGTGACTGGGAGGGTTAGTAATGACAGTGAGTGGTAAATCTTGCTGCAAATGGCATTTAGACAAGAGCTCTACATTAATTATTTGCTTTAATCACGCTTTGATAGTTGACTCTACAGTAGGTATTAACACAAGGCTCTAATGCAAACATGCTCCCTAATGTAACTGCAGGAATGGTTTATGCTGTTAGCTTACTGAATTTAGTCATGCCTCACTTTTTATGGTGCATCTCCAGCTCTAATAAAGCTTGATCTGTGCTAGTACATAGATTATCCTCTAGGAATTTGCATAACATCTCAGCTTCACAGCTTCAAAATCCTGTAATCTGCTATGGAAAATCTGAGAATGTGGTCATTCGCAGGGCAGAGCGATGCTGCCTTAAAAACGCCCTCTTCATGTTGCTGCTGTTTGGTAACAAAGTCATCCTCCAAGTCTGTTTTCCTCTGTAAAAGCACTGTTACCTGGAGCGCGCTCGTCTTCATCTTGCTGTCAGTACTCTGCTGTTGTTGGAATTTATAGTGTGGTGATGGGAGCTGGAGAGCTTGGAGTGCACAGGGGAGAACTGTGATGGATGCAGAATTCACTGTGCCCGTTCAGCAGAGCTCCAGATTGCTGGGTGTTTGTTCACAGATTGAAGTACTGTTGAATAGTTTCTACATCACCTGTACTGCTGATACGCTCTACAGGAGGTGCATTTGGCATGCTGATATGCTGAATGTTGTTCTGCTTTGGTTCTTTGGATTGGTGCAGTCAGGTTGATGAGGTGTAGAAAGCTGCAGGCAGGAGGACTGCTGGAAGCCATTAATTAGCCCAGTAAGGATCCCAGGAAACAGGGGCATGCAGAATGCTC